CTGTTTGCAGATTACACGATACTGTACATAAAAAAAACCCAAAAGAATCCACTCCAAAACTACTAGATCTAATATCTGAATTCAGCAAAGTTGCAGGATACAAAATTAATACACAGAAATCTGTTCCTTTCCTACACTAACAATGAACTAGCAGAGAGAGAATACAGGAAAACAATTCCATTCACAGTTGCATCAAAAAGAGTAAAATACCTAGGAATTAAACCTAACCAAGGATGTTAAAGACATATACCTTGAAAACTACAAGACACTCCTAAGAGAAATTAAAGAAGATACCAATAAATGGAAACTCATACCATGCTCATGGATAGAAAGAATTAATATTGTCAAAATGGCCATCCTGCCTAAAGCAATCTATAGATTCAATGCAATTCCTATCAAAATACCAACAGCATTCTTCAACAAAGTAGAGAAAATCATTCTAAAATTCATATGGAACCACAAAAGACCTCAAATAGCCAAAGCAATCCTGAGAAGGAAGAATAAAGCTGGGGGCATTACACTCCCCAACTTCAAGCTCTACTACAAAGCCACAGTAATCAAGACAATTTGGTACTGGCACAAGAACAGACCCATAGACCAATGGAAAAGACTAGAGAGCCCTGATATAAACCCAACCATATATGGTCAATTAATATATGATAAAGGAGCCAACAGGGAAATGAGAGCCTCTTCAACAGCTGCTGTTGGCAAAACTGGACAGCTACATGCAAGAGAATGAAACTGGATTATTGTTTAATGCCAAACACAAAAGTAAACTCAAAGTAGATTAAAGACTTAAATGTAAGTCATGAAACCATAAAACTCTTAGAAGACAACATAGGCAAACATCTCCTGAATATAAGCATGAACAGCTTCTTCCTGAACGCATCTCCTTGAGTAAGGGAAACAAAAGCAAAAATGAACTCATGGGACTACATCAAACTAAAAAGTTTCTGTAGGGCAAAGGACACCATCAACAGAACAAAAAGGCATCCTACAGTATGGGAGAATATATTTGTAAATGACATATCCAACAAAGGGTTAACATCCAAAATATATAAAGAACTTACATGCCTCAACACCCAAAAAGCAAATAACCCGATTAACAAATGGGCAGAGGATATGAAGAGACGGTTCTCCAAGAAGAAATTCAGATGGCCAACAGACACATGAAAAGATGCTCCACATCACTAATTATCAAAGAAATGCGAATTAAAACTACAATGAGATATCACTTCACACCAGTAAAGATGGCCAGCATCGAAAAGACTAAGAACAACAAATGCTGGTGAGGATGCAGAGAAAGGGGAACCCTCCTACACTGCTGGTGGGAATGTAAGCTAGTTCAACCATTGTGGAAAGCAATATGGAGGTTCCTCAAAAAACTAAAAATAGAAATACCATTTGACCCGGAATCCTGCTTCTTGGAATTACCCGAAGAATACAACTTCTCAGATTCAAAAAGACATATGCACCCATATGTTTATCGCAGCACTTTTTACAATAGCCAAGATATGGAAGCCTAAGTGTCCATCAGTAGATGAATGGATAAAGAAGATGTGGTACATATACACAATGGAATACTATTTGGCCATAAGAAAGAAACAAATCCTACCATTTGCAGCAACATGGATGGAGCTGGAGGATATTAGCTCAGTGAAATAAGCCAGGTGGAGAAAGATGCCAAATGATTTCCCTTATTTGTGGAGTATAACAATGAAGCAAAACTGAAGGAACAAAATGGCAGCTGACTCAGAGACTCCAAGAATGAACTAGTGGTTACCAAAGGGGAGGGGTGTGGGAGGGCAGGTGGGGAGGGAGGGAGAAGGGGATTGAGGGGTATTATGTTTAGTATACATGGCGTGGGGGATCACGGGGAGAACAGTGTAGCACAGAGAAGGCACATAGTGAATCTGTGGCATCTTGCTGCACTGATGGACAGAGACTGCATTGGGGTATGGGCAGGGGCTTGATAATACAGGTAAATGTAGTAACCACATTGTTTTTTCATGTGAAACCTTCAGAAAAGTGTATATCAATCATACCTTAATTAAAAAAATTTTACAGTTTTTAATTATAGAAAAACCTTGTTTTATTCTTCTGGGAGTGCTTCTAAAAATACTTGCATATTAGTTAGGTTTAATTTATTTTCTACCATGATTTTAAGGAATTGTTTCACAAAAGGATTTGAACAGCAAACTTTATTACATTGCTCTTGAAATTTTACCATTTAAGGAAAATACTTTATTGTCAATACATCTCATTTAACCAAACATCACAAAAGTTGGCCCACATAATCCAGGTGCATGTTTAATCATTCAACAAATGTGTATTGATTACTTACAATGCCAGGGATAATTCTGCACTGGGAAAAGAGCAGTGAAAAAATCCATACCCCAGGGACTACCTGCAATGGGGAGACAGACAAAATATAAATGCTTTGTAGAAAAACAAAGCAAAGAAGGGATTTAAAAGGGACCTTCAATTCTAAATCACAGGATCAGGAAAGACCTCACGGAAAGGGTGGTGTCAGAGCAAAATCCTGAAGGAAAACAGTGATGTGCAAAGGGGGTAGACAGAGGGGGATGGAGGACAGAATCTGGAGCAGAGTTTTTATTGGTAAAATTGCCAAAAAAAGAAGACAATGAAACAAAGAAAGAAAATCTTAAAAGCAGTCAGAAAATAAAAAACAGAGCAACTTAAAAGGAGCCAAATCAGACTGATAGCTGATTTTTGGAAGACAGAAAACAAAGAAACAATATCTTTAAAATGATGATAGAAAATTAATCTCAACCTAAAACTTAGATCCAGGAAAAGTATCCTTTAAAAATGAAGTCAACACAGTATCCCAAATAGAAAGACATGAGCTAATCAACTCCATCACACTCACATGAAAGGGGCACTACCTGTGCTATCTGGGCACTAGAAAAATGACCAAGGTGGATAGGCAGAACAAAAAGCAGTGGCAATCACCCATATTTTTACCCAGTGTAAAACTCAGCTTATTTTTACAGTTTGAACACTATGCCAGTGAAAAACACATAATTTAAAGCAAAAATGACCATATCCTGCCACTGTACCTTTGTCCCATATCTTCTGAAATAATGACAATCTTTACCAGAACCTAGAACTACCAGGTTATAAAATGAAAAATTCCAATTTCTTCCTGCCATGGAGGAGATTTCACATCTTTAGGGGAGTCCTGTGATCCTGTACATTTTAAACCATGAGGACTACAAACCCCAGTCATTATGGTCACAAGTGAGGTCTCGTTCCTGTGACTCCAGGAAGGCAGGCCCAGGGAAACACTCCCTGGAAGGGAGGCCTCCCGCCCCCATGCATGCTGGCAATGCTGCCACTGTCCCCCGCACCTCACAGAGCACTGAGGATGGTGCAGCCACCATAACCCAGTCTGATGCGGACAGCCTGTTCCGTGGGCTATGGGTTCCCGTGGGCTTGTACGACCCATGGGACATGCCATGAGTCCCTCCCGTCCCCACAGAGCACTAATTTCTCATACACCAGCTCCCACCTCTGGTACATTCCACACACTCTCCCTGGAATGTGTTCTATTAACACAAGACAGTAGCTATAAAATTACTGTCAATTATAATGATGTTCATGCTAATGAAAATGAATAAAACGACATTAATGCAGCCTTAGTATTTACTCCAAATCCACAAGTCCACATAAAAATCACTAGTTCCAATTCCATTAGGAGTGTGTGTGTGTGGTGTGTGTGTGTACATGGTACGTGTGTCTGATGTGTGTGTGCATGTGCCGCTGAGGGTCAGATCACACCCTCCCCAGAAAGTCTTACCACTTGGTTTATAGACCACTTCCAAAATTCAAAATTAGTTCTGGTAGTAGGCTGATAATGGCCACCAAGATACCAAATCCTAATCTCTGAAGCCTGTGCATTACCTTGTTTGGAAAAAGGGTCCTTGTAGGTGTGATTAAGGATTTGAGATGAGGAGATGATCCTGCATTATGTCAGTGGGTCCCATATGCATCACAAGTGTCTTACAAGAGAGAGGCTGAGGCGGAGACAGAGATAGAGAGAGGGAGACAGAGAGAAACAGAGAGAGAGGGAGACAGACAGAAGTACAGACAGAGAGACAGGGAGAGGGAAGGAGACAAAAAGAAAGAGAGACACAGAAAGACAGAGATAGAGAGACAGAAAGGGAGAGAAAAACAGATGAGGTGGAGGGGGCATGGTGTGGAAACACAAGTAGCCACGGGAAGGAGGCTGAGATGGTGGGAGGGATGCACCTAGGATCCCAGAATGCTGTGCCCAGAGGGAGAGGAGACAAGGCAGTTCCCCCCTTAGCACCTCAGGAGGGGATGGCCCTGCCCACTGCATAGGCTTCGGCCACAGTCTTAAGGACTATACAGCTACAGGGAATGCCTTTCTATTGTTTTCCTTAAGCCACCAAGCACTATGTCTGGAAAATTCTGTAGCCAGAGCTGTTTCTGGACCACGTTGCTTGATTAGGTATCCTACACTCTCAGTTCTCTCATTTTCATTGCTTTTTATCTCATTAGCCAAACTATGAACCTCAGGGCCTGTCTGGTACCACTTACTATCTGTTGATGTCTTCCCTTGTGCAGAGCTGGGCATGCAGCAGGTACCCAATAAATGCACATTGTCAGATGGCTTTTACAAGGTCACATTTGTTCATAACCCACTCGACAAATGTTTGTAGAAAGAGAAAAACAATGTGAGCAGAGCTTTATTGTTACAACACTGCCTTCAATAAAAATGCTTCCAATTAAAAGGTGAAAACAAGCCTCAGGCCCCCTCCTGCAAGGCTTCCAGGAAGAAGGTGCTTCACTTTCTCCATCCCTAAGGTTGGGGGGGTCTGGCCAAGGCGTGAACGTGGAGATGAGGGGAAGGACAGGCCTGCCCTCTCCAGGGCCCATCAGCTGGTCTCACAGGACCCTGGATGCTAGGGGCCAGGAACACTGATGTCTGCCAGCTTCCCCTTCTCTTGTGGCAGGCGTGAGTCATATGGAGGCGCGCCAGCCTGGGAAGCCTCCCCACTTCAGCTTGAACTGGGTCTTGGGCAGTGCAGACGTGGAGGTCATCGACGCCACAACCGGGAAGAGGAGCTGCGGGCGCCCCTCCAGGCTCTGCAAGCACATGCTGTCAGCGCGGTGGGCACAGCTTTATGAGAAGGTAACAAGACCCTGCATTGGGTTGATCTGAGCCATGTGGCAGTGCCCCTCTGTCTACTGTTCCCAACTCCCCACAGACCAGCTGTGGCTACACCAAGCAGGGCCCAGGACAGCAGCGGCTCCACAAGGCTTGGGCGGGGCACCAACAGTGATATGTGGAGCAAAGTCCAGGCACCTCCTGGAGTGGGTTACCCCAGTTTAGACATAAGGAAACTGAGTGATTCCCTGAATGACACAGGTAGTGAATGTCAGAGGGTTTGGCTCATGCTACCACGAGTCCGAGCTTACTTTCTCCTCTATAAATAGGCATAATAACTCAGATTTTAACTTGATATACATTGCCATGTTTCTAAACCATAGCAGCGGTGACCCAAAAAAAAAAAACACCACCATAACAGAAACAGAAAAACAAAGAAAGACCTTAACGCTGCCACGCCCATTTCCCCATGCTTTATGCAGACAGGAGTAGGAATGATGTGGTTCATTCAGCAGGAGTAAAACAGGATAGACATACCAATGCTTAGAATAAACACATGTCAACTGAGAGGACACCAGTAGCTTCACATCGTGCTCCTAGCTGGCAGTGACTTCTGCCCAGCCAGCAGCCAGGTATGGGGCCTGGGGCTGCTCTGTGAGGACACAGTCCCTTCCCACCTGTGCTGGAGCACTTTCCATGCTTCTTGCTCCCACACAGTGTGCGCCACACTGAGACTGCACAGTCAGAACACAACACTCTTTTTGTCCTGCTGAACAGAAGGGGCCCTCCACACACAGGTAAGGTAATGCCAGCCAGCAAGTGGGCAGATTGGTCTGCAAGAGGCCCTGCAGTGAGATTCAGACCTGCCACCCCTACCTCCCACTGAGGGGGGCAGTGAAGCCGGGCTGATCCAGCCTGCTTTGCCTGGTACGGCCAGACCCTGGGCAGAGGGAACACCCACCTCCGTCATCTGGTTGGCTAGCAGTAAACTCCACCCTCTGGGTCCTGCTCCCAGGATGAGGCTTCAGCCCCACTGTCACCCTGGCCCCCACGACATCCCCGTTTGAGTCCCAATCCTCCTCCAAAGAAAAAAAACACAGTGTTTATATTTTAACCAGTAAGCTCCTTATATGTTCACTTTGTTCACTACTTACTCCTCTTGTGAAGCAGTTCTCCCACAGCCAGAGTCTCCTTGGAATTACAGAACTGCCTGCCTTGAAAGCTCAGGGCTGTAGCTATCTCATCCCTTGTCTTCTAATTTTATATGAGGCTTTATTTTATCAATAGGTCAATTTCACAGAGAATAGATGTTTCTCTTTAGTTACCAATCTTACTACTGTAAATCAGTATGTACACACTGCACATAGTAAGTGCACACACCAAGGACTGCACACGCCAAGGACTGTAAAGGCCAAGGACTGCACACACTAAGGACTGCACACACTAAGTGCACACAGTTGGACTGCACAAAGTGCGCACTGATCAGCAAAACATGCATCCTGAGTGCCCATCTCCCCCATGGCACACTGCTCTTGCTGCATGTTGGTGAGAGCCCTGTTAGGAGTGCTCCTGGTGCTTTCCCAGGACACCAGTTCCCTCCAGGCACCCTTGTTTCAAGGAAAGCAGAAAGTGGCAGGAGCTTGCCATGCCTGTCCTCTCACAGTGGCCCTGCCCGTCTGCCATGCTCACATTCTTTCTCATTCCTGTCCCACAGCTGAGCCCACGGATACCACGCCTGGCAGACACACCGTCCCTGTACTGTGAGGCCAAGCTGGGGGCACGCACCTACCAGTCTGTCAAACAGCAGCTGTTCAAAGCATTTCAGAAGGCTGGTCTGGGCACCTGGGTGAGGAAGCCCCCTGAGCAAGACCAGTTTCCACTAACTCTATGAGTCACCAGACTCTGCTCATGGACCAAAGTGGAGCACCCGGCAGGCAGTGTGTGTGTGTGTGTGTGCAGGGATGTGGCAGGGCACTCTGCATTCATTTTCCTTTGGTGTTCAATGTTCAGGTGAGCAGCTAGACTTGAGCTAGGAGTGCACCTCATCCCAGATAGCAGCTCCCACATGGCCAGCTGCAAGGACACACTGGTATCTGCAGCAGCTCTCTCTCCCCAGGCCAAAGGAGAGTCACTCAGGCTAGAGGGTTCTTGCAGCCTACGCATCCCCTGAGTGTCCCTGCAGCCCGCACCTCTCAAGTAATGCATTCAGTTCTCCCTAGCACAAGATCATATATGTCAGATGAGCCATGAGTGAGGAGAAAAGCCATGGGCTCTTCCCCAAAGAGGCCGGTAAGAATGCTCTACTGTTTTCATCATATTTTTAAGTTTTTATTCCACCTCCTTTCAAAGGGACTTAAGATGCACAATATCAAAAAGCCAGAGAAATGAAGGCCGCTCTTGCAGCACAAAGGGGCAGCAGGAAAAGCTGGGATGAGCTAGGAGCCACATGCAGAGGCCATCTCAGACTCCAGGGCCCGGTTCTCCGCCCACCCACCTGCCCAGCAGCCGACAACCACAGCCACTGAGGAAGTCTGAGCAAGACCCTACAACCTCCCCACCAGGGAACAAGGAAACCAAGTCCTATACCAAATTCTGACTTTTTAGAAAAAAAAAAAGGTTATTTTATTAGAAAGCAAGCACAAAAAACATCCAAAATAACCTTCACTTTGGGCTCAAGCCACCAGCCCTCCATTCTTTCACGTTCCCAGTCTCATCTTGCATGACAAAAAAACAGCTGCAGGAATGCAGGAGGCGGGTCTCTGTCACCTGCACAGGCACCAGGCGGCCAGGCTCCAGGGCTCGCTGGACACAGGCCTGGTTCACGCACACCATGCATCGTTCCATGCATCCTCTTCACACGGGCAGGGCCCTTGGGCCATCCACAACCTGGATCATGTGACTCTCACCACCGAGAGCTTGCTCCTAACCCATAATGCCAGGTAGCAGGGCTCCAGTTTCTCCCATGAAAGATCCATATCTGGAAGTCATTTGCTCCAAGGAAGGCTCAGGAGCAGCTGGCTCACTATGGTCTCCTGACACGACACTTGCTGACTGCCTGGGCATATGTCCTGACGGGCACACAGGCTCACCTCCTAACCCAAGAAGTGCAGGCATAGCATCATGCTGTATAGACTCAAGTACAAATTACAGACATTCTGACAATGAGGCAAAAATGAAACAAGTTGAGCTATAGATATTTGTCACAAGAAAACAAGTAGAGACGCTAGAATGGAAATAGAAACTCTTCGTGGCATTAAATAGAAGGTCAAATCTATCACATAAGTTCTTTTTGAAGGAAAACAGCACCATACTGGACAACTTCTTCACAATAAAATTTCAAAAGATATGAAAGTTTTTGCAAATGGATGACTCATATTAATCTTTCATAAAATTTGACGAAGGAAATTGAAACCTTAATTTGGTGCAAAAGCTATGATTGAATAACTAGTCCACATTAGTTTCTGATAATCTGGCGTGTCACTAGGAGGAAGCTTAGGGAACCAGACCCTTAAGAGCTAATTTATGACTTAGGCTGACTCAACTGCCAGTCATCTGTGCCCTTCTCAAGGATGCTGGTTGAAATCTAATACCCAGACCTTAACTGCTAGCATTCTGAGCTATTGCTGGGAGAAGTATATATATATGCATCTTATCAACGTGCTCCTCTACAAAGAGAAGATGGCATTAGCAGCCCCCATCTTAACCATCCCAGGCAAGATGCAGGATGTTCACCTGCAAACAGGCACAGCAGCACCACCCTTATGACATCATTCCAGAAACTCAGATGGCTGCCCTGCAGGTGGATGGGCAGGGCTTACACAACTGTGACTTTCCAGAATGAATACTCCCATGGTGCCCAAGTGGCAGCCATTTGGTCATGATTCACTGTCTAAGACACTGGCTCTCCAGAAGCAATCCAACTTCACCACTTCTGGAGAAAGTCACACATTAATACCCCAACCATGAGCACTAATGTAGGACTGGTCTATTACGCCAGGGGACTCCTTGGAAGGGGAGGCTTCAGTTCTGCAGGTCTATAATGAGAAGCATTTCCAATGCAGCGGAGTGTGTCTGAGAGGTGGAGCTCTGCTGGGGCCTCTCCAAGTGAGCAGAAAATGGGGAGGGAGATGATCCCAGGCACACAAAGGGCAGCAAGGGAGAAGATTCTAAGGTGGTACCTGGTGTAAATGGAGAGGACAGGGCCTGTCAGCCAAGGGCAAAAGTTCCAGGCGGAAGCCTAAGGACTTCACTCTCTGCCTCAAGGTCCGAAAGCACATCCCAGCCCTGCTCTACAGGTCGACCCTGCACCCCTGCCTGGTGAATGACAGGGGGCCACAGACACTTCACCACCTGAGGTTTTCCTGAGAACAGAACCAAGCAGCCAGCCTGAACACATGACCATGTGAGGCAGACACAGTCAGGGTCTCCCGGCCCCAGGGCTACACTGGCACTGCTCACCAGTCTCAACACGGCCTCCTGCACCGCCATGCTTCACACTACCTAACAGTGTCAGCTCTTGGTTGTCACACTGCCCACATCTGTATGTACAGCTACTCAGCCCAATACTAACATCCAAATAAAACTAACATCTCTTTACCTGCCCACTGGGGAGGCTGGCAATATAAGGTTTCTGCCTGGTTCCTGGCCAAACTGTCAGGGTCGAACCACTTGGCCAGCCTCTTCACAGGACTCCCACCAGGAAGAAGGCCGTAGTCATGTGGGCCCTGCCCATCCACCTCCAGGGGCAGCTGACAGCAGGTTATTGGGTTTAGGGTTTCCTTGGTTTCGTTTTTCCCAAGGAAGGATGCAGGTCTCTAACTATGGTTTTCTGCTCTTCCTGCGGTTTTCTTGTGAGTCTGTATGTATCTACTATGCCACTAGGGATTTGTGAGTTTTGCTGTTCCTCAGAAACATCAGGTTGAGTTACCTTTCAAGCAAAGTTCATGTTCTCCCACATCATTTCCTTTTCACAGGAAGCTCTTCTATGAAACAAGTCAAAGCTAAATGCTTTTTTTTTTCGGTATAGTATTTACCATGTCTGGAGAGCCATAAACAGTTAATATGTGTATATCAATACCCAGAATAGAGTATTTTGATGAAATCCTATTTTTAGATTATAAATTTCAAGATGGGTCTATAGTTTCTTGTTTAAAAAATTTTAAGAAGATATTTGAAACTTAGACATTTTTAATTTAGGGGAACTTCTATACCCACTTGTTAAGAAACCATTATAATGAAATCATCTGTCCAATTGGGCCGAAATACAATAAATATCACTATCTAATAGAGGCCAAAGGGGAGCTAAGAAGTATATGTACCACCACTCAACTGCAGTGACACCTCTCCTGGCAGAAGTCCATTCAACACTCAGCAAAACCTGGTGCACCTCGGCTGCCCCACCACCACCTCTCCCAGTGGTTGCAGAGCCTGAAATCCAGTCTGGGATCAGGAAAACTGGTCCCGCCCTTGTGAAAGGCGGCTGCAGTATTGAGTACTTAGGGGTTCCCGGCTGTCCCAGGCATAGTGACAGGACGTGAGGAGCCAGCCACTGCTGTCCCTGGTCCCACCCAACGCCAAGCTGGAGCAGGCAGTTCCCGGGAACGCTGGGATATTGTTGGCACCTGTCAAACCTTCCCCACAAATTTTGAATCATATAAAGGATCAGTCAAGGGTGGAGGATGAGGAAGCAGAAACTAAGAGTCAAAAGGCTCTGGCTGTGGAGAGGTGGCCTTGGAGTAGAGCAGTGCCTCTGCGGTTTGGGGAAGGCCACCGCGGGTTGCCTACCCTGCCAAGAACACTGCCGCCTGGGTCTTCTTTCTCACACTCTCCACTCCCTCCCCTGCCTTTCCCCGCTGTATTGCCTTTCTTCCCTGTCCTAAACTCCTGAGGCCCTGGGACACCTGAGAAGCTGAGAATGGGGCTCAGGCATGTGTGGACCCCGGGGACCCCCTCACTGATCTGGGAATCAGGCGGGACCTCCTGAGGGGCCCTTGTGACTTCTTGTCCGGTGGGTTTGCCAGGGTCCTTTTTTATTCCTGGGACATGTCCCTTCAGGCCACCTCCCACCCAAAGGGACAATGGGACAGTGATAGTCACATGTCTAGAAACTAGACCAAACACCATGGTCCCTACAGGGACTGCAGACAGCACCCAGCCCTGGATAGAGACAGACTTTATTTCCCATCTCGTAATTTCAAAATCACACTTGAAGGGATGAAGCACCTTCTAAAGTTAAAGCCACAAGGATCCGGATTCTGGGGCCTCTTTTCGTACAGGCTAGATTTCTGTCACTCTGAAGCAAACACACAACAAAGGAAAAAACACTTTCTAGTGCCCAGTTAATTTTCAGCTAATTTTCAGTATTTTTTAAGCAAAATGAACTTAATAAACAGTAATTCTTAAATGAAGGTATGTACAAAAAAAGCATGACTGAATGGCAATATTGTACCAATGGATGTACATTTGTAACATTTGTAAAAAAATTCAAAACCTTAAAATATGAATTTACATATGTTAATTTGCCTCTAAGTTCTGTAAATTATACTTTAGTGATAACTGATAAGTGAATGTTTCTGTTAAGTGAATAAAAATACAAGTAAAACTGCTTTCCTGGGGCCTTTCTCATCAAGCCAAGTCCAAGGGGTCTCAGGAATGTGCTGTGAGGGCCACAGAGGGCCCCCACTCCAAAGAAAGGGCACCCTCCCCCCACGGCTCTCTCTTTTGGTGGCTGGGACTGCTAGTGGGCTCTGCCTATGGCAGTCACTAGCCCAGAGGAGCTACTCAAAGACCGCAGGCCTAGACTGAAACACCCAGGACCAGACGCAGCACCTTGTTAACATATCAGTTTTCTCGCTGCAGTGTGGAGCAGGAGGAACAGCCTTCACCGCACTGCTTCCCAGGGCTGCTAGGGGAATCAGCAGAGTCAGAGATCACAGTGCTTTGAAAAGTCAAAGTATCGCAAACATGTAAGACATTCTGAGTCTTCCACCCAAATCTGCCACAGTATTTGGGGTACATGTAGGCTGATAATTTCCCTGCAGCATACTAAGCCAGATGGGTATCAGGCCAAAAGAAACACCCCAAAATCACTCAGGGTGTGTACAGCCTAGCTCTGCAGGCCTCTGCGGGGACTGACCATACCAGAATTCAAACAGCCTTCCCTGTAATGTATTCTGCCCTGTTCCAGGGCTGCTGAAGGGACCTTGCTATTTCACTAGTCACCCAGGAGTGGAGCATAACCACAAACACGCTGGGCACAGGACTGCATTGTTCTTGTCTGTCACAGCCTCTGAAACCCCACACACATTCCTTCTTGGCCAGGGTAGAGCTTTCTTATTTTTCAGTCTGCTTGTCTTTCCCATTAACTACAGGGAGACTCAACTCAAGGGAGGGCACCCATCTCAGGTGGAGGGGTCACAGAGTGGGGGTGAAATTCTCCCATCCTTGGGCCAGGGCTGGGCAGATCGATAGCCTCTCATTTCCCATGTCTTACAGTAAGGAACCCCAAGTGAGGACACTCAGGATGCGGTGGCCAGTAGAGAACCCAGGAGGCTGAGAGGCTAAGTGAGGTCCATGACAAATCTCAGTTGCATCACTATGACTTACTTGGAGGCCACCTGTTGGAACTGCCTCACTGTGTTGGGGTACTTGGGGGCCAGGGCTGTTTCCTCACCAAAGGACAGAAAGCCCCTCAGGCTGATCTCCATGTGCCCAACCCCAGTGCTTCTGTCACTCATGGGGAAGTGAAATGGGATTGGTAACTCCTGACCCTTGCGGCCTCCTTAAACCTAACAGCCTCCATGTCTACCCTACTCACTCCTCCACCTGACCAGCCCCGCCTACCCTCTTGTGCCATTTCTTTCTTGTTGAGAATTTTTACAAAACACGAACATGATGGATATTGTTTCAGGAAAGGTTTCAGCTGAGGGCATGTATCCCAAGCAAAAGAGCTGGCATCTACCATGACAAGTGTGACGAAGGTTGGGGGCAGAGCAGCCAGGCATGTGCTGTCATTTGGCACACCACTATGCCCTCCAGGGCTGTGATGGTGGGTCCCTGCAGTGGGTTTAACTTGGTGACAGAAACGCCCCCTTCCAAATGAGCATGAAAATGCCAGTGCATGCAGAGCCAGCTTTCAGGAAAAGGCTTTCATCAACAAAGTTGGAGAGTGGATAGAACCCCAAAGCAGCCACACTCCCGCCCTGGCCTAAGCCTGGGCTTGAACTCTGAGGCTCCTGGGATTTCCTGGAGCCCCACCCGACAACCCAGCCTGGCCACAAGGTGTTTTGGATGTCTGGCCTCACACTCACCTCTGGAAATGACTCGGAGTGATGGAGATGAGTCCTCAGAGACAGGCCTGGACCTGTCTTGCTCCATCCTGGACAGCCATGGCCTTGGAAAAATGGCACCACTCCCCAGTGACTCCAGATAACATGGGTCACACTTACCCTGGGGTCAGGGCCAGGATCAGGCAGACAGTGAACATTCTCCCAAACAAAGGGCACTTGCCCTCAGAGATGCTGAGAGGTGCAAGCCACCTGGGTTTTAGCAGCCAAACCAGCCAAGCTACAATAAAAAACATGAGATTCTGCCAGAACAGAACCCATGCTGGGCAGCTGCTCTGCACTTGCTAAGCAACCCAACACCAGCACTGGTCAGCCGCTGCTCCTCAGCCTACAGGGCAGAGCATGCCCCCACCTTCCAGGAGGTGTGCAGCTACCCTCAGGGTTACCAGAGTTTTTACTGAGCCCTGGAGCAGAGCACTGAGCTCAGAGAGATGCAGAGCCCTGTATGTAAATATAGACATGCTCATGATTCGAGCAGGTAAATCCAAGATGAGCACCAAGAACCCACAGTGAATGTCCTCTCGGCATTTCTAGAGACACAAGAGACAGACAAAGAAGAAGGAGCTCAGTGCACATTCCACAGCACACACCTCTCCTTCTCCAATTCTACATCCACAATTTATTCTCCTTAATTCCCAAACCCAAAACCAGTATTAAGTGGCAAGCACCAAGCTTAAAATTCTGACAAAGGGAAGACAAAGCTGCAACATCTCAGTCCAGGACATCTCACCCAGATGGGCTGTACTGTGGCGGTCACAGCACCACCATGCTCCCTGTCAGAGGGCAAATCTCTCCTCCAACACAGGCAAGCCCAGCCTAGCCATTCTACATGATTCTGGAATCATGCATGTGGCTTCTGTATCTGCCATCATGTCACCTGTTTCATAGAATGCACCAGCACTTTACAATTGTTCATCTCTGAACAACATGCCATCACATGGATGTAACACATTTTGTTATCCACTCATCAGCTCGTGAACATTCCGGTTGCTTCCACTCTTTAGCCATTATGAATAGTATAATAGTGCTAAAACATTCATGAACAAGTTTCTATATGGACACATCTTTTTTTAATTCCCTTGAGAATGTACCTAGCAGCGGAACCACTAGGTCAGCTAATAACCCTGTGTTTGACATGACCTTGCTATTTCACTAGTCACCCAGGAGTGGAGCATAACCACAAACACGCTGGGCACAGGACTGCATTGTTCTTGTCTGTCACAGCCTCTGAAACCCCACACACATCCCTTCTTGGCCAGGGTAGAGCTTTCTTATTTTTCAGTCTGCTTGTCTTTCCCATTAACGACAGGGAGACTCAACTCAAGGGAGGGCACCCATCTCAGGTGGAGGGTTACTTAGAGAAATTAAAGTAGCTGTACCTCTGTGCATTTCCAGCAGCAATGAATGAGCACTGTGCTCCCCTAACCCTCTCCAATACTTGCTGTGTCTTCTTTATATAGATGGTCACTTGTCCTTCATTACTGCCATCTGGGAGATGTGAGGTGGTCTCTCGCTGAGGTGTTGATTCAAGTTTCCCCAAAGACTAATAAGAATGGAGTTTCATGTTCATATTGGTCATTTGTGTATCTTCTTTTAGAAATATCTATCAAATCCTTGTCCATTTTTAATTGGGGATATTTGTCTTCTTGTTGTTACAAAATTTCTTTCCATATTCTGATGCTAGTCCCCCCATTCTATGTCTGTTTCACTTTATGATGGTGTACATTGAAACATAAAAATGTTAATTCTGATGAACTCCAACTTACCTGTTTTTGCCTTTTTTTTTCTTATGCTACTGCTCTCATACCTAAAAGTCACTGCCTAATTCAAAGCCAAGAAGATTTATGCCATCCTCCATTCTCAGAGTGGTAGTTTGAGCCCTTACCTTTAGGTAACTGGCCCATTCTGAGCTATGTTCATGTATGGAGTGAGGCGGGGTACCACATCGTTCCTTTGCATATGGAAATCTAGATATGTCAGCACTGTTTATTGAAAAGTGTGTTTGTTTCCCTATTGAATGGTCTGGGCATCTTTTAACATTTTAATTAATCTAAAATTATTCTAAAGCAATACATGAAAAAGAGAATGAGATTTCAGCAAATTTTCCAACTCAAAAGCAACACAAAAAGTCAACTGTACTTCCTTTTATAAGCAACAAAGTTTTAAAAAAACTTTTAAAGTACCATTTACAAAAGCATTAAAAATATGAAGTTCGTAGGAATAACTGTAACCACAGATGCTTAAGATATTTAAGGAGAAAGTACTTGGGGGCCAGGGCTGTTTCCTCACCAAAGGACAGAAAGCCCCTCAGGCTGATCTCCATGTGCCCAACCCCAGTGCTTCTGTCACTCATGGGGAAGTGAAATGGGATTGGTAACTCCTGACCCTTGCGGCCTCCTTAAACCTAACAGCCTCCATGTCTACCCTACTCACTCCTCCACCTGACCAGCCCCGCCTACCCTCTTGTGCCATTTCTTTCTTGTTGAGAATTTTTACAAAACACGAACATGATGGATATTGTTTCAGGAAAGGTTTCAGCTGAGGGCATGTATCCCAAGCAAAAGAGCTGGCATCTACCATGACAAGTGTGACGAAGGTTGGGGGCAGAGCAGCCAGGCATGTGCTGTCATTTGGCACACCACTATGCCCTCCAGGGCTGTGATGGTGGGTCCCTGCAGTGGGTTTAACTTGGTGACAGAAACGCCCCCTTCCAAATGAGCATGAAAATGCCAGTGCATGCAGAGCCAGCTTTCAGGAAAAGGCTTTCATCAACAAAGTTGGAGAGTGGATAGAACCCCAAAGCAGCCACACTCCCGCCCTGGCCTAAGCCTGGGCTTGAACTCTGAGGCTCCTGGGATTTCCTGGAGCCCCACCCGACAACCCAGCCTGGCCACAAGGTGTTTTGGATGTCTGGCCTCACACTCACCTCTGGAAATGACTCGGAGTGATGGAGATGAGTCCTCAGAGACAGGCCTGGACCTGTCTTGCTCCATCCTGGACAGCCATGGCCTTGGAAAAATGGCACCACTCCCCAGTGACTCCAGATAACATGGGTCACACTTACCCTGGGGTCAGGGCCAGGATCAGGCAGACAGTGAACATTCTCCCAAACAAAGGGCACTTGCCCTCAGAGATGCTGAGAGGTGCAAGCCACCTGGGTTTTAGCAGCCAAACCAGCCAAGCTACAATAAAAAACATGAGATTCTGCCAGAACAGAACCCATGCTGGGCAGCTGCCCTGCACTTGCTAAGCAACCCAA